TATATAGATGACAAAATAATTTGGACCTGTTCTTTTATATATAGTCTTTGCTGAGTGGGGGACATGACGTCAACACAGGCCATATTAGCAATGTAGATCATTATCACATACGTACTGAAAGTTTCATTCTTTAATTGAAAATATTGAAAGAGACAATAATAAGTTTGCAAAAAATAAAATACAAATTTTGAACTGTAGTTTGGTTGCCAAAAAATTATTATTTTAATATTTGAAACTGACTTGGTTCATGTCCGTTTGTCTGTATACAAGAAGACATAGTTAGATGTATATATTATTCAACGCTATTATAAATATGCGTCTTGAATTGCAATCTATGTATTGTATCAAATCAAATAACAAACCATGCTTCAAAATGTCGTATGTCTCGACATGGATATAAATGCAAAACGCAACATTCCACAAGAAATTAAATCTTAGATCGAAGATATAACGTTGTAATGATCACCCTAGCATATAGGGGTATGCAGTTTGTACAGATGCTATTTCATTGGAAACATCGGATGTCCTACTTCTAGTATGTATTTGTGTAGGACGTTTATGGAGAACCGTTGGCCCCATACTGGTTCCCCGTTAGTGGCTGTAAGGTAGACATAGGTAGAGACAAAAAAACTTTCCACTCCAGTTCAGTATATTTTAAGTGGTTCAGTAAGACCACAGTTATTCTAGAATTATTTTTGTAAATAATGAATTTTCAATAAAAGTCAATATGATAATAACACTCACTAATGACTCTCTAACCTGTTTATCACATTACTAGCCAACGGTAAATGGGAATGAAACGTGAGTAGAAAAAAAACCCCAATGCAACATATTTAATTTTTCATTTTCATATATGGATGCTGAATTGTTTTCGAGATACAATGACCTTACATAAAATAATCACCAGAAATATAATAAATGGAGCACCTATTTGACGATTTTGCCTTTAGATGCTGGAAACCAAGCAAAGGTAACATTTTATTGAACCGTATAACCACTTTCTTATATTAAGGACTGATAAGTAGTATTAAACGTCGAGCGAATGAAATATCTTTGTCTAAAGTGTTGCAAATCATATGTAAAATAAAGCGAAAGGGATAAGGTGTTTTTAACACCTTTTATGGCGTTTAGAATTGTTAACGTTCGACTTCAATTCTTTATGCCAAAACTACTATTCCATAAATACCCTTCCAGAATAGTTTCCAAATATAAGGTCATGGTTATGATACACCTCGGGGGCTTATAGTCAACTAGCAGAGTTAAATTATTAACATAAGTTTGATGCTATTTACATTGTTCCATTCTACCATAGTTGGTTAACCTGTCTAGCTTGCTAGTTATATAGATACACTCTGTAATTTTCGTATGCGTTTCCATACATTAAACAAGAAAACATTAGCACGGATCGTCTGGCTTCCTGTAGAAGTTAAGAAATCACTTTCGCTTTCAGACATATATGCTATTTAAAGTCAAACATTTAGTTTAAGTAATTAAATAAGATATGTTGGTCGAGACAGGGTAATATGTATGTAACTCCTTATCTAGATGGAGTGCCTAGGTATGCCTGGTACACATCTGTCCTCTACATAATAATATAGAAACTAGAAGCGCCATCTTTTCTTACTGCACGAGGCTATTCCTCTTTATCTTGCCCTTTAACATCGAAGTAATAAAGTATATGACTTGTGTACTATCATGTGTGTCTAGTCCGGTGTTCTACCCAGAGAAAGTATAGGAAAACCCCATTCATTTACTGTCGTTATGATACATTATATCGAATGGCCCAAATTTTACAACCATTCCTTAACAGAAGTTTATAGTATCGTTAGAGTCCAGGAAAATCTTAACTTAACGGTCCTTAACTGCAATAATGCTTTCCTATGAAAGATGTTAAGGATTTTCCTGAGGTAAAGGTACGCTCGCAAAACTGGGACCGGTATATTATTGATAAGTAGTCCCTAAACAGGAGAAGTATGATAAGGAGAATATATATCATGATAATTCAGTGAGATAGCACTACAATCAGCGTCATCTATTTGGGCAACCATCTTATGATAAATAGTATCAACCTGTGGTCAATCTCCTTGGTGTTAACATGCACTTTGTCAATACTTTCGTGTGAATCATTGTTTTTCCTGAATGTACAGCTAACGACACACAAGTATACACGTACAAATGTGATCACCTAATCCCTATAATTTACATATAATGTAATGCAAGTTCTCGGGAGATACATGACAGGAAAGTTGTAACTTATAATGAAATAATACGTGCATATATATAAAATAAAGTATACATTTCAAATAAAAATGCATATAATCAATTATCAATGAAACTGAGTTATCACGAGAGATTTAAGTAAAAGAATCTAGCAAAATTTGAAAACATTGTTCATTGTCATAACTTGATTTCACGTCGGCTTATAACCCCAAGTTGGGTATTTGTCCAGTGCCTTAACATGTTTAGCCCCTAAGGTATCCCACATACCTAAGGAGCACGTGTGTGCTAAACGTGGTATTATTAACACGTTAAATATAGCGATGGAGATACACATCTTAATAGAGGTCTTATGTCTCATAATACAGCCACTGAAATGTGTTTGTCGATTCGGACGAAATCTTCCGAATAGAAAAATGTTCCTCATAATAGCTCTGTACAGCACTTAAGTTATTTACAGTTGAAATATGGCATTGTCAGGCCAATAACGTACGCTACACCTAAGTGCATAATGATGTATGGATAATGGTTGGTTAAGTCTTTTTAAGAAATATTCCGCAGGGTTGGTGTGGGATATTTTAAATGCCTCGTCATTGACGAAAACACATTTGCTAAATTAAAAAACACACCTATTTTTAAATTTTTAAATTTTGTTGAATTAAGTTTCAAACTTCGTATATACAGTGTATATCAAAATGCTTTTAAAACATGACACGTTTATTACCGGTTATATATAACAACTTAGGTTTCTTCATCTTTTAATTGTTAGAAATAAGATTAATTTCCGTCTCCCACAGCCAAGACATTGTACATGCTAGCATAAATGTCGTCAGTACCATTACGACAGAAGGAGTAGTCTATACAAACTGTTCATAATTCATTAAAAAAAAAAAAAAAGTGTATATTTCTATTCCCACTTAAGCTAACTATGCTTTCAGAAATCCAACACTCGAGGAAAGTCAGAAAATATAAATAGACGTCTCATGTGCGTCCTTAGACGTTAATTTTCATCAATTTTCATTCAATAACACAGTATATCCGTCTTTGTATAAACAAGTTTTGTTAAAAATTGTTATTTCATTCAAAAAGTAAAATTGTGCATACAAATAAACAGAATTTTAAGCTGACAATGACATATGACATTTAAATAACTGTTTGATATTTGAAAAGAAAAATATGGACCACCCTTTGATAGATAATAAAGAAGAGAAGGTGTTCTGGTCAATACAATAGAGGTTATCAATAAGGGTAACACTGCGTATGATTTAAATGGACAAGACTATGTTACGGATTCAATTTGACAACTGGCAGCGATTCACTGATAACAATGAAACAACGATGGGTTCCCATACACAGGCAACATATTGACTTCGTATGTACAAGCACAATTACTAGTTTTATGGAATCCACCTTGCTTTGATGAAGATCTTTTGAAAACAAACACAACAGGCGAACAATAGATGATTTATATCAGGCGAAAAGAAAACATGGGTGTATTTGTGTTTCCAATATTCATTTTCTTTTCAATTTCGAAATCCCCTGTGGGAATATTGTAAGAAGTGCGGTGAAGATCGTGTTGTTTCTGTTATCTCTACTACTAAACCTACCGAATCATAGTGTCACTCACAGCCTGGGGTATTTCGGAGCACATGTGCACTTTATGGCAAATTTACGCTGCGGTGCATGCACGAAACTCAGTGCATTTCGTTTTTGTCAATGATAGCCAAAATTCTGTTTAACCCATTCTCCCCTTAAGACGCATTTGAACTCTTCCAAATCTAATGTTGGAAAAGTTCATTATTAAACTTTAGGGGTGAATAAGTTAAGGCATATGTTCCTTTCCGTCCCCTTTGTCTCACACTTTTACATGTGAACGCAAAATTGTTCGATACCATATACTATCAGACACACTACCGATGCTGACTGGCCCTGCCATTATTAAGACGTTGTTGTTGACACTAACAATCTTAGCTAATTAATGAGAATTAAGCTTGCATTAAACAAACAAATGATCGCTGAACATGCTGTTGTGAGGGTTTGTAATTTAGGATCAAATAATTTTAATAGGCATTCTGTTGATGCTGAAATTAAGTCATTGGTAGCTCAAGAATTTGAAACGGACAGTTTTACACTGATAAAACCTCCCCATCGGTTATATTTAGATAAATGACTGCCCAACGCGCACCACGATCAGCCCAGACCAGAAAAGCAATCTACAAGAACGGTAATTGTACAAAAATCATTGTACTTCTAACCTTACTTTTACTGTGTATTGATATTCAAGGTAATGGAATAAAATGTAGGTTTTAACTCGGGTAATTTGTTATATAAATTGTAAACTGTTTTAGATATATAACAACATTCTGTTCACCCAATTGGTGTAGTTATAATCTCTTATACACGGATTTCCAAAACGAATGTCACCTTATGTCCTTTATATATAACAGGGATGCGATATACAGCTGTATATATATGAGCAGAATGCAGTATGATGAGTATTGTCCCTTTACCATACGATCACGGGTTCATATTTTGGTTTCAGTACGATGTCTATCAAACCTACCTCATCGTAATGCAGACAACCTTTAACATAGTTAGAGATAGAAATTATGGATTAATGTAATTTGACATCGTCTGGTTTTCGTTTACATCATCTATAATGCTACATTTTTAATATTTTTCCTGTCGATTAACATTTCATCTCGCGACAGGACGGATAAACTAAAAACATTAGTAAAGAAGATGGGACTAAAATTGGAAATATATATAAAGGAAATACTTACTGGTATGCTGGTGTCCGTAAAAGACGTCTGACGCTTCAACTAAAGTGTCCGGCAGCAGAAGGAAAAACGATATAATGATATGGAACGTCTGAGAAAATGGACACAAATTCTTCCATAGTTTCTTGACAGTTTCGGAACTCAACTTGTCAACAAAACTTTCTCCTGTCTGACATAAAGCATGGTCTCTGCCCAACTTGAACCCGTCGTTGGCATAATTCCCTAATTTTAACACTGAAGATATGATAAAGAGAGGTGCAAGGATTAACGCCAATATGGCGAGGCCTAGTTTGGCGCTTAATGCCGAGGGATAGTACTCCTTCCAACGTTCCAATATAGTTTCCTGAAAGGTGTGTATCGCTCTGTAGGAAATGTAACATTGCAATCCAACTACGAGTAAACAGTATATAATTGACCACAAACTGTTCCAACTTGTACTTTTGGGCTTCAGGACAACCATCTTGTTAAGAATCTGTAATGCTGCCAACGAATGTCAACTGACCTACGTGGATATCCTCGATTGTTTACGTTGAGTAATCATTCAAAACCCGTGCCGTGCCTTAAACAACAAGGACAGATCATTTCTTGGCTGAAGGAGATCGCTTGTTATACACGGTGTATGGTGTTCAGCAGCTGTCAAAATTAACACAGTAAATCAAAGTGGATACACTTTAATAATCCAAAACTCACAGATCAAGTTCAAGATGCTGTACCGTTAAGATAAAATCCAAATGTCACACAAGTCGAATTTAATTATCCAAATCAGAAGTTAAAATCAACACTGTTTTTGTATAACAGAAATGAAAAAGTTTTCAAAATTGGTGCTGAAATTCAAACGCTACTCCGAGTACACTTTTCTGTGAAGTTGTGAAAGTTACAGATAATCAGCCAAGATAAGTGTAACACAAGAAATACGTGATCATACAAGCATGAGACAATACTGTCAAACAGCGCTGTCACTTCATCTACACGCACAGCTCTACATCCGTAACCAACTGGAGGTTTCTTATATATATATACAAAATGTTAGGTCTACTACGTACACCTCTGTGTGTGTGTGTGTGTCGCTATGAGAAGGTACATCGGGGTCCGCAGAGAGAGTTTGATACAAACCTTGTTGCACTACAATGTAAAATCCTCTCCACAGAAGCCTATGTAGGCTAACTCAACCTTAGTTTATGTGCTAGCAATAGCATGGGAAACATTTTACGTCTTCATTGAGATAATCACACCTTTCCCTGAGACAAACGAGAGAGTGTTAACACAGGTAATTGATCACTAAGCACGTTGAGTGCATTGTCACGAGAATGATCGAGAAGTTGACCAGTCCGTATGTTAGCCTGCTGAGACTGCCCCCTGATAGGACGGTTGATGATGTGTGAGCGTTTTGCCTGATAACAGGTGTGGAGTGTTCCACACTCTCCAGAGGTACAACACTGCACACTCAACGCGGCTCTCAACCAAATGCTCTTTACACGCAAAACGTGTACCGTTTTAAATGGAGCTGAGCCAAGGGAACAACACTACGCACGTTCGTCACTATGTTAAAAGGAATCTCCTGCTCCCCGACAGCCCAGCTGGCCACATAGCAGGTCTGTTCGCATGTTATCACCAGCAGGAGTTGGACCAGCGATGTGTCCGTGTTGGATTCAATGATCCGGAAAAGCCCGGAAATTAGGTGGTGGGTCGTCAATGAACCGCGAACATCATTGCCCGGCTGGTAAAAGCTCTGTCAGCTTAAGAATTAGCATATTTTCTTGCAATTTTTTTTTAGATTATCAAATTTTGCTTACATACGACAGTTTGTTTCATTTATTTCTTAATTACTATATCTTGATAATTTTCAGATTTAAGAATATAAAGCAATATTTTCACAAATTCGGATACTTTATATAGATGTAAACATTATATTAAGCTAATGCTACTTTGTAGTATTTAGATGCAGACTATATAAAGTAAGGAAAGATGCAGTACCGCGCGCCGAGTAGTAAAGCTTAGAGATATTACGCCTGTGGTGTCGTAAAACGAAAGTAAAACAGGGTTTAAAGGGTGCATTGTGTCTGAATGCTGCGGTTCTTTATTAAAGCCATATGTGGTGTATGTCGTAGGTATATAGTCAGAGGGTTATTTATTCAGATCGCTTTCCATGTGTTTTATAGTAAATACAACGATCTTTCTTCAGCCTCCCTTGTGACTTTCGTGTGACTCTCGCGTGACGGGAAATGCCGGTTTTAATGGGGGTAATATATCAGTCGGTTTTTTTCAATGATATAATTATGTATATGTCTAACAAAAAACTTAACATTTTTGATGTTTCTGTTCTTTTAACATTATAAAATATGTATTATGCAGATATACAGAAAATAATATCGTATAAGTATTGTGAAATATGTATCTTGATGAAAGCTGGCAGATCGAACGTATTTACAATGCTTTTTATGACCTATTTTACAATATTTTGCGGAATAGCTAGAAATTTACGAGTAGAAGTAAACGGATGAGGTCTTTCTCAAGTCACCTACAATATATTTCACATACGGTAGCCCCATGTCATGCATCCATTTGTATTACACATTGATATTACATGTATATGAATATATTAATCACCAAGTTCGAGTGTATAAAATAAAATAACAAACACACAAGACTGACCGCTAGGTCGTTCTGCCATCTTGGGCTTCTTCAGACGGTTTGGTTTGGTTTTATATTGTTTAACGTCCTATCACCAGCTAAGGTCATTTAAGGACGTACGTGCTCCCATGTGTTTTGTGTATGCATGCATGTGTGACTGATGCATGTATTGACTAAATTTTCGACAGATCATTTTAAGTACATTTCATTTCTTCAAAGGCTGAAAAGTCTCTCAGAAGAGATGAAAATACTGAAGACAAGTCGTCCAGAAAATATTCATTTCTAACTACTATTCTGGGTAGGCAAGGATCATTATATCAAATATGTTACCCTTATTTCAGAAATAAAAGTATTCACTTGCAATCAGTTAATCAATCACTAATATGGATTACCTTACCAACGTCCAAACTCCCCTGTCTATTTCACTACCACATTATTTGGACTTTCTGCATAGATGCGTCACATCGACCAATACACTTCGCAATCAGGGTATTCTATCAGAGAACCTTGAATCTACGCTGCAGAAATTGTACAGGCCCTCCCCATTATCATCTTCCCAGCAACACATTATTATGAATGACACAGTCTACCTGGATAATAGACCTCTCCATCGGGTCTTAAGTAGATGGTGATAAATGTCTACCTTCCTAATACATACCGCATGAGACGCTCACTCTTCCGGCAATCCTGGGGTTTTGTGCGAGGTTATGATGTCGTCCGTTCCTTATGGTGTTTCTTTAATTCTATTTCTTGTGTATTTGCAATGACTTTGAGTTCCAATTCTGCTCCTTCTTGTTGAATCTGTGATTTTCCCCCTTTGTATTTTACTGGTGTTTAGCTTTGGTTTATGTTTGCGTCCAAACCAACGTTTAGTTAATTCTACTTTCATTTCGCCTGTGCATTCTGTAAAACAACACTTTGGACTTTGTGCTACATCCATGGGGTATTTTCGCTTGTTTAATAGAGGTTTTTTTATGTAGCTCATCTCAATGAAGGTACTTTTACTTACTTCATTCCAGTTTAATGTTTATTGGTTGATAATGCTGTACTGTTTGCCGTCGACTTTTGTAATGAGTACTGGCACAAATGAGGGAGGCGGAGCCGTTTTATTTACAATTATCTGTTAATGAATTACACGCTTCGCGCACTTTGTTCGATATATAACGCTGTTAGTTTTGTTTGGTATGCTTTTGTTGATTTGAAAGTACACATTAAGTACAATCTTGCAGAATAGGTTCGACGCTACATCATTCTAGATGGTTCCTCAATCGCCCTGGTCGGAATCCTTCAAAATAGACTACCGTGTTCTTCCGACCTTAATTTCAACCAAGCAGCAAAGCGCTATCTGAACACATGGTCTAGGGTTGTGTTCTTTAATATCGTTTTGACCAAAAAATGTCGATTTCTGTTTTCTTTTATGCAAAATGTTCATCTAAATATTTAGAGATGATGAATTTATGTGTAATTCACTATCATATACTACCCATGCAAATAGATAATCGCACACCATCGCTACAACTTTCTTCATTAAATCATCGCACACAATTGATGCAATGTTCTTTTAAATAAATCATCGCACACCATCGATACAACTTTCTTTTCATTAAATCATCGCACACAATCGATACAACTTTCTCTTCATTAAATCATCGCACACCATCGATACATTGTTTGTTCAATCAATCATCGCACACCATCGATACATTGTTTGTTCAATCAATCATCGCACACCATCGATACAATGTTCTTTTAAATAAATCATCGCACACAATCGATACAATGTTCTTTTAAATAAATAATCGCACACCATCGATACACCTTTCCCTTCTATAAATCATTGCACACCATCGATATATTGTTTGTTCAATCAATCATCGCACACCATCGATACAATATCCTTTTAAATAAATCATCGCACACCATCAATTCACCTTTAACTTCAATAAAGCATCACCTGACTCATCAATTAACTTTCCCACTCTTTCAATTAACTTTAATAATTATTAACCATTGCACATTATCAACACATTTTAACATTCATAAAATCATCTCACTTAATCGACTTATCAATAGATAATCGAAATTTATCGGTAAACTTGGTAAACTTGACCCACCAAAAGTAACAATCGCAGCAGAGTAACACTTTATCTGAATGAATTCTGTATTATTTTAGGCACTCTTCAACATTTGAAAGTATTTGTGTAAATGCAAAACAACAGCGTTTGGCAAGAGAATTTTTCAGATTATATCAGAATCGGTTTGTATGAAATTTCATGAACATTAACATTGGTAGACGTTTTTTCTTGTTTTCTTTGACTTTGATTTAGAAACATTCCGTTGGAATCCACGCGCCATTTGTACGTAGATATTTACGGACAGTGGTGTTAGAGGATCTGTTTGACCCAATACAAAGGTCGGCTTGGGTTTACTTTAAACATCTTTACTCTTCAGATTGTAACTTTTATTAAAACAGGATACATCGCTGCTATGTCTATCACACGGGGTATCGTAGATGAGGAGTGTTCTTTTAATCTGACCCAGGAACACAGAGGGTATTAATGGGCGATTCCGTCAACGGGGATCAAAAGAACATGCTTATCGTTGAAATGGCAATTTGTGTAATACAGAATTTTCCCATGACCTTTTTTGCCGATGAATCATAAAGTGATCATACAACCCTTCATTAATCTTAACTTTTCTGTGAAAATTGATTATTTTACGTGTATTCTCTAAAGTCAGAATTCAAACGAATTAAATATGTTTAAATTATAAATGAAGCAACTGCACATCCCGATCGTTCAAATGCACGTGTCATGATGTAATGCTTTTTTTATGTTTCGTTTTTCACTTTCTACTATTAAACGAAAGTCAATTCTGCTATGGTAACACGAACGCTTAAGCGTTAAAAAACCCTGATCTAACCAAACGGGTTCAGGAAAGGCCATACACGGAGAGAGCTCATCCAAGTATGGGAACTGTACATGTGCTCGCCGAAATTTAACCAGGATGCTCGAAATCACCTCGGTTATCATGACTTTTCTGGTGTGTTATGGTGCAATGGTTGACGACACCTATTCCATATGATGATTGTACAAGCTAACAACAAAAAAACATGAGAGGAATGTGGATAAGTTATTACCCTTCAATAACTGCAAACCATGGAATAGGAATTTGCAATCAAGGTGCAGTTGTGAATGTCTCTGCTATTTACGCCGGCTCAGTGAAGCCACAGAAGGCAGCTGTAGTGCAAATGGAAACCTCGGGGTTTTCCGGCTAATTTTGAGTGCATCCAGACAGAATACCGTGTTCACTAGAGTGCTTTGAAGCGATGGGTTAATCAATGTAGAAGTCAAGGTTATTTTATCAAATATGTACTGCGTCACTTCGGAAAAATATTCATGTACTGTTCCGAAGTTGCATAACCAAATTGCAACCAAAATAATATCAGATATAGAAGAGGGTATTTTTGAACGCCAAATTTAACTCAAATGTAGAACAATACTGATAGTACTGCTGTTAAATACCAACCGCAATTGTCAACAAACTATAGGCTACCTTCATGTTACTCCATATACAAAACAATAAGTATTTAAATGCTTGACATTCCTACTATGGAGCAGTATTATAAAAGTGCCGTCAGTCATGACAACCATTTTTAAAAAGCCAAAATGTCGATAGCATCTAAATCGAAAGATTTCCGACAGACCGTATACAAACTGTAACATAACTAAACAAAGGGATAAACAACGTGAATTGTGTGACTGGCAATGAACTAAATTATTGGGAAACAAACTGCTTATCCTGAGTGTTAATGGTTACTTTGCCGATATAGATTGCGACGAAATACACATGATAGGTTTTCTTGGGAGAATTAAAAGTTAAAAAAAACCTGCATGGCATGAAAGATAATTTCGAATGTGCATGCGTTATTGCTTAGTTGTATATGAAAGCTGTACATTTGTATATTTACAAGTGTATTTCTTTGCATACAAGTGTACTTCATTCAAAGTATC